GAGGATGGCACGTGGGACATACTTGTTACCTGTGAGAGGAACCAGCATTATAGCCCCAGAGTTGGTGGCCAGTGTCACAGGACCCCTGCTGTTCTCCCATCCATCTCCCCACATTTCACTGGAGAGACACACTGTCTCAATCAAGACTACTGTATTATCAGTACCTTTCTGAGAACAAAGGTCTCTTAGAGGAGTCACTGGCAGATGACAACTCTTGTTTGGGGATATTTCCAGCCTCAGTGAACTGACATGCCTGGCCCATTTTTTTAAGGACATCTGAGGAATCAGGCAAACTTACCAGCAGCTTCATTGTAGTAGACATTGATCCTCTCCAGCTGCAGTTCACTGTCCCCATGATAGCTGCCCGTGGGATCAATGCCATGCTCATCACTGATGACCTCCCAGAACTAGAAGAAATTTTTGAAAAACGGCAATTAGCTATTTCCAGTGCCAGTAGAAACAGCTGGCCAGTGCCAATCACACACACCAGTGCAGTCTGTGCATGCCGTGGCCCTGACCACTCCCATGCATGGCAGAGCAGCTGCTGGGCAGGAAGGTGAGTCAGAGCTCAAGGGCTTCACCGGCCACAACAGCTGAATTAACAGAAGGCAGACAAGAAGACAGGGCACTGAAGTACAAGTTAATTCGTTTGTAGCTCGTATCCAGAGGGTGACCCTCCCTGGCTATCTGAATTTGTCCTCCTCCCATTGTCTAGCCTTGGCTTAAGACCCTGTAGCCACTACAAGATGGCAACACTTGCACTCCCTCGGTGGAAGCGGGTAACCCACGGCACTGACACACCTCCCGTTCCCTCCCTCGGGAGCCGGCGCCGTGGCTGCAGAGGGGCGAGGCAGGGAGGGGGTTTCCGCGGCTGCCTGCGGGAAGGCAGGGCAGTGCCGGACCGGGACGCGGGCACATCCCAGCCAGCGCCCAGCCCCGCGGCACCTCACACCGCCGGGGACAGCGGGCACAGGGGCAGGAACCGCGACGCCTTAGCAAGTTGCCCCGGGGCGCTTTTCGTTTCGGGACGGAGCTGCTCGCTACCCGCGGGGTGCTACCCGGGGGGAGCGCCCCGCTCCCCGCACCGGTCCGTACCTTGGCGCCGATCTGGTTGCCGCACTGCCCGGCCTGAATATGCACGATCTCACGCATGGTGCCTGTCTCCGGAGCTGCTGCTGCTCCCACCACCACCTTCGCCGCCTGCACCCGCTGCTGCGGTGGCCGCGCCCCTCGCAGCCCCTTAAATCGGGCGCCGCGCCCCGCCCCGCTGCTGACGTGCTGCAGAAACCGCGCGGGGCGGGCCGGGCCCGCTTATTGTCTCCCGCGCCCCGTGCGGGCCCCGCGTCCAGCCGGCGGCGGGTGCGGGTCTGGGGAGGCGGCAGCCTGCGGCCCCCTCCACAGGGAGAACGCCGCTGATTTGAGGCTCTGGGGGAACCTCGCCTTCAGCCGTCGGGGGGAAAGGCCGGAATCTGACAAGGCATGGCACGTCTTGGGGTGAAAAAGAGAAAAAAGAAAACAAAACCACCTGACTACTTTTCGCACACCTGTCGGAACTCGTCCCCGTGCTTTCTTTGACCTCTTCCACGCTGCAGCAGCAAAGCACGTGCAGCTGTGTTTTACTGGCACCCTCAAGCCTGTATTTCTAGCTCAGGCCTGCTTAATCATGTTTCAGTACGTTTTAAGCACAAAATCAATTTTTTCCATAGCTCAGGCACCTGAAATAAGCAGGGGTTGGGTGGCGATGTTAAAACCTCCAGCCACTTTCAAGCAGCACAACTCTGTTCTAGATAGTGCTGCTAAACCTGTATTTGTGGGGTTCTGATTTCAGAGACACAGAGGACTGGCATAAGGTTTTATGCCGATACTAAAGAATACTTTTTTCTGGGAGTTATCCAGCAGTGATAGCAGTTTAGCATCCATAGGACTGGGATATCTTTTTTTTTCTATAAGTGAAATTATGTTAGGTCTTACCAGACACCTGCCATATACTTCATTTTGAAAAATTTCGGATCCTGCTCCAAACATCTCTGCTTGATCTCTCATAGGAAAAAAATGAGCTAAGTATATGGTGGATGACCAAGGGAGGAGGGACAGTTCAAAAACAATAGTGAGAATATAACTAAAGCAACGGAGATACACACCTATATCTGCACTGCTTCCAAGGACTTTATCTGAAACAAATTTCAGCAGGGGCTGTAATGGATTGTGGAGAAACTATTGAACTTAACTATAAAACATTAATTGATTCATAACTGTAAATATTTTAAAAGTGAAAGTAGTTTTGCCACACAGCTGGCCAAATTATTGAGGACAGCTTTACATTAGCACAAAGGAAGGGAGATAACAGCCCACAATCAAGCAAGGAAGTGGTGGAACAGGTTGGTAAAGAGGATGCAAAATGATGCACCTTGTATTCAGTATAACGGTGCTGGTAGGGGTTCACCTCAAGCACAATATTAAAGTGCCAAGAGGGACAGCATGGTAAGGCAAACTCTCAAACTTTTCCCAAGCATCAGCAGGCTCAGTACAGTTAACACTTTATTTTGTTAAGGCTGTTGAACTGTGTCCTATAACATCCCCACAGGCCAACTGATGAGGTATGGCCTAGATAAACAGACAAGTGAGGTGGAGTGAAAACCAGCTGAACTGCCAAGCTGAAGGACTTGAGATCAGCAACACAAAGTTCAGAAGCCAGTGATGTACCCCAGTGATTGATCCTCAGCCAACACCATTTAACTCCTTCCCTAGTGACTTATATGGCAAGAGAGTGCACCCTCAGCAAGTCTGACGATGACACAATACTGGGAGGAGTGGCTGATATGCCAGAGGGTTGTGCTGCCATCCAGAGAGAAAAGGGCTGACAGGAACCTCATGCAATTGAACAAGGGGACATGCAAGGGGTACTTCCTGTACCTGGGAATGAACAATTCCCTGAAACAGCACATGCTGGGGGCCACACAAATGGGAAGGAGCTTGGCCAAAAAAGGACCTGGAGAACCTGGTGGACACCAAGTTGAATATGAGTCAGCAGTGTGCCCTTACAGCAAAGGTGTCCAACAGCATCCTTGACTGTATAAGGCAGATTATTACCAGCAGGTCAAGGAAGGGGGTACGTTGTGGTGAGACACATCTGGAGTTTTACATCCAATTCTGGGTTCCCCAGTACAAGAGACAGATGGGCATATTGGAGTGAGTCCAATGAAAGGCCATGAAGCTGGTTAAGGAACTAGAGCATCTGGGGCTGAGAGCTGGGACTGATTGTCCTGGAGAAGGCTCAGGGGATTCTTGTCAGTGTGTATAAATACTTGATGGGAAGCAGTAAAGAAGATGGAGCCAGGCTTTTCTCAGTGGCATGCAGTGACAGTAGGAGAGGCAATGGGCACAGACTGGAATACAAGAAATATAAACATAAGAAAAAAATGCACTTTGCTCTGGTACAGGTTGTCCAGAAAGATTGTGGAGTCTCCATTCTTGGAGATATTCAAAACCCAAGTGAACACAACCACGATTTACCTGCTCTAGTTGACCCTGTCAAGCAAAAGAAAGGACTAGATTAGATGATCTCAGAGTTGTCCAACCTCAAAAATTCTGTGATTGTATGAAAGGCAAAGAAAGGAGTGGGAGGCTGTAGGTGACCAGAAACATTGAGTTTATTAATCTCACTGTCACAGTACACTATGATGTTATATTGCAGTTATAACACTTTCAGAACCAGCAGATTTTTACAAAGGTGAGGCAATAATTGATATGGTAAATCATACCACTATCAAGAAGAAAGCCAGAATGATGAGTTGTTTACATATTACTCAGGTTAGCTGTGCTTAATACAATATAAATCAATGCATAATGTCACCAGTTTTACTCCTTTTTTTTTTTATCTATGGCAGGAAATACTAGTGGCTAAAAAAGTACCATATCTTTGCCTGCCATTTGTCTGCTGTGACCTTGGAAATGTACTTTGATCGTATTTTCAAAAGTGGCTCTCAGTTTGCTCCAGTGAATTGACCTGCTTATCAACTGTTGTTCTTTCCAAGTGCAGAAACCTCATCTGCTGTGAAATGTCACGTGCACAGATTTGCTTAAGCTTTGCAACACAGGGAATTAAGTGTGGTGGAATTACATGTGGCTTTTGCAAACACAAAATATCCAGGATTGTGCTGGCACTGAGATGTTTTCACCAAATTCTGTTGAAGTTTGTTCTTTATATCCCAGTTGTTGTATTTTCCTCTGACATATTTCTGCTGTACTTAATAACAGGTAGCTTTTGCTCCTGCTAGCACAACTCATGCATACACATCTGTACTTGCTATTGGCATAACCCACCCTTTTGGGCGGCAGCAGCAGGTAACTACATATTCTCACTACTGGTGGAACTGCAACACAACTGCATCTCTGGCATCTCTGAGGTATCCACATAGACACTGAAGAGATTTTTGGGTGGAAAAGCATTTCTGGCAATCTACAAAAGACTGACTTGAAGCACTATGATTCTTCTCCTGAAGGCACCTGGACACTCCCTGAGATGTCTTCTTCCTACACACAGTGGCTTCCTAAGGCTTTATAGCTACTCCACTAAGGATTTTGAACTTTTATTAGGAAACTAATTCTTAGATGCTACAGCACTGGTCTCTTTGTAGATTCCTACTCTTTTTTGGGGGGGGATGTATCTCCAGGTTTTAAATTGAGTACCTAAAGGGAAGTACATATTTGTGTGTGCAAGTTTGCTCACCTACAGCACTGCTGAACATCCATGAACACACAGTGAACCACATTAAATGTCAGTTACTTGAATGTCAGTTCAGAACCCTCTATTATGGCAAAAACTTCAACAAATCTTAGCCATCAATGATATTTAAATAGGTATGGAAGTTCGCTATTGTTTGGGGTTTTTTTAATATAAAAAATCTATAAAAGCTCCATAATTTCTAAACGTTCATAATTGCAAGTAAAATCAAAACTCTCCTATTCATACAAAGGCAGGTCATGTGCCCAGGAATGCCCATAGGCCCCTCAGCAGCTGAAAGTCCTCGGCAGCCTGCTCCTTGCCTGTATCAAACCCTGCCTTCCCAGTTTCCAAGGCAACGGCGGAGCCCTGTAATGGATGCACAAGGGAGGCAACAGGGATCCCACAACATTTTCACATCTGTCCATGATTTCCCATTGTTTGAGAAAGAAGCACAAATGTATAAATGTGAAAGCTGCTCTAACATATAAAATGTCTGCCCATGGCTTTATTCTCTCTTATTTGTAATGGGTGATGTCATATATTGCTCAGGCACGTATATCAGAGACTACAGGACTTTTTGAGTCTTTCTCTTGATACTCAAATGAACAGGCTCTATTCATTATCTTATTGTTTATCTTCTCCCTGGTAACTATGATATTCCCACCTGATGAACATAGTCTGAGGTCACCTTTGGAACCTGATGCTCGATCATTTTCAATGTGCATTAAGATAGAAGAATATTTTGCCAGCAAGAGGGTGGAATAATTGTGAAGGTGTTTTTAATGTTAGCAATAAAATACCTAAAGGGAAAACCTATTTTTATTTCAAAATTATGACCCACTGCAGGCACTAGAAGCAATTAAATGTAACAACACTGAGCATGCTTTTATGAATGAGCAAAAGCAGTTTCATCACAGAGCCCTCTATACTTGGGTTTATTATAGCTGGGCATCTGTGTGTTTGGCCAAGAACAAAAGAGGAGAGCATAAGTATGTGAGAGAAAAATCACATTACAGAGTAATTTGCTGTTAATTCTGAAACAACCCATGCAAATTTTGAGGGGAGAAATGTTTCTCCATGAACCTAATATTTCTTCCACATGATATGGTTTCTCTTGTGAACTTAGATTACAACCTCTAAGAGTCAGGCATTTCTGTGAATGTGGTTGTACAGGATACAGCAAATAGAACCCCACTCATCTCGCTTCCAAAGGTACCATAATAAACAGGATCACGTGCCATAAAATGACTCCAAAAAGGGAAAAATATGTTTATCATCATCAAGCAGCAATTTACCAAAAAGAAAGACAAAACAATACAGCCTCTCATTATTTCCTCTTGGCACACCAGATGTGATGGGGTAGCAGCCAGATGGCTCCTACCCCCATCCAGGCTGCATCTACCTTTTAAGATTGCTCAGTAGATGAAATGCATCTGCTATTTCTACAGAGTGGGTCCTCCAGTCAAGAGATGGCTAAGATTTCAGCATCAA